CGCGGAGGGAGCGAGTGGCTCCCAGGATGGGCGAAATGGCTGCTCCGGCTCTGCGGCTCCATATGGACACGGGTCGGGCAGAAATGGGGAAAAGAAAACAAGAATGGGGAGGATCCCAACTGCCAGCTCTCGCTTCTGGCTTCGTGAAATGCTTGTGGTTCGACCCAGCCTCACGCGGAAAGAGGGGATTAAGGTACCACGACACGGTGACGATGGCAGGGGAGTCGGGCACAGGCCCTCGGTCTACGTGGGGCAGCAGCCCTGCAGTTCCGAGCACAGCTGCTCTGTCTTGCAAAGGTTGTTTTTGGCACCTCTCCTCTTCCCCTACTGGTTTAAGAAATATTAAGCTTACTTGGTGGCCCAGCACTCTGCGATTTTGCAATGATACTCAAAAGACAGTCACTTCACACCAGTTGTTTCTCAGGGACCTCCACACTGGGCTCACACCCCTTTTTTTTTTTTCTTTTTACAATCAGACGAGACTTGAAAACCAACCCAACCTTCCCTACCTGTCCACAACTCTTCTGTTTAGGACCTGGCAGTTTTGATTCTCACCTCGGGACGTGGGTTTGGAAGCGGAGGGTGGTTACAGCAGGCTTGCACGGACAAAGCAGCGTCCCTCCCGCTGCCAGGAAGGCCTCTGCAAGCAGGCGAGGCAGTCGGAGGAGCCGCCTCCACCCGCGGCCGTGCCGGGATCGCCCACACAGCATCCTTGTGCAACAGGCAGCGCATGGGGCGAGCATGTCCCCAATGCCCTGAGGCACGGCCCTGCCTGACAGACCATCCATCTGGGTCACGGAGAATATGGCACTTTTCTGTATTTCACACGACAGGAATACTCGCTCCCCTTTCCCAACAGGGGCCACGTCTAGTTAAGGCAATTTAAAATTAACCCAGGTTTGGCATTTGCAAGCTCCTCGCTTCCCTGTGTGATAACGCTGTCAGCCCGGGTTAGCTTAAAGGTCCGTTTTCCCCAGGAACCTGTCTCCAAGAGAAGCCAGAGGAGGATGCTTACAGAAAGAGCAGAAAAACAAGAGGCAGTGATTCTCCTCTAACCCCCCTTACCCAGCTTGCAGCAATAATCAGTTCGCATTTCCAAGTCCCTCTGCTGCACGATGGCTCACTGGCACTCGAGGGGTTTGTTCCCTCTTCCAGAACCTGGAATTAGCGCTGCTCAGATGTTCCCAGCCCATCGGGATGCCTCACCGTCTACGCCCTTTGCATCCTGCCTAGCAGCTGATTTGCAGACAAAAATGTGATGGTGTAGCGGTCCAGTAAATCCCTCCTGATTGTGCTCAGGGTCACACTGGATCTCGGCTTGATCCGCACCCCCAGAAAAGCCCATCCTCCAGGCTCTTATCTGCTCTGTCAAAGATTAAAAATGCGCAAGCACACACACAAGACATCAGTAAGAACTTAATGGCACAAACCGAAGCCATCAATCAAACCCCAAGAAGGATTTTCAGCAACCTGGCAGCCTCAGGCTGGGCCCGGCGTTCCAGGTATCAGCAACATCATTAAACGAGGCGAGTCAGAGAAGAAAGAACAGGCACGGGCTGGCAAAATACTTCACGATAGGAAAGGCGAAGAGGTCGGAGAGTTGGTCTTAATGGGACATGCAACTGGTCCCACCCCACAACAGCTGGACATGTGATGTCCAAAAGGCTTTGGAATTGCTTTCTTGCATGACCCTGACAGAGAGTCACGTCCAAATTAAAATACCAAAAGCACATCTGTAGCATCAGGGGTATTGGTTTCTAGATTTCCAAGATATGCTTATATTCTACGTAAGGTAAGATAAAACAGCAATAAAACCTAGATCAGCTAGTTCAAGTTCACCATTTTCTCCCCCTGCCAGCACTGTATCCGTAGTGAGCAGCCTGGGAATTCATCGGGTTAGAGAGGAGAAGAAATGTTTTCTTAAAAATTAACTAATGAATTACAATAACAAAATTAAGAGAAACAACGTAGTATGTAACTGATGTCTGATGCAACGGATGGGCAACTCAGTTCACACACTAGATGTTTTTTAGGCACACAAACTCCCCTCCTTAGGTGGAAGGGAGAAGGAAGCAAAGGTGATACCAGCATTTTCTGCTACTCAAGTCCCTGTGCAAAAAGTGTGGTCACCCTGCTAGAAAAAGCACCTCTTCAAACGGACTGCAGCATTGCCCTGAACAGGCCAAAGAAGATCAAAGTGCCTGGTGTTCAGAGAACCCCTCCCCACACCATCTCCCTGCTCTAGGCACTTTATTTTTTTTCTCTTTTCTCTTTTTTGAACACTCAGCATGAATTGCAGAAACCAGCAAAGCGGCGTTTCGCCACTGCTCAGCGCTGACCACACAGATGTGTCTCCGTGGGGCAGCGGCTCTGCTCTCCCAGAAGTGGGAAGCCGAGCAACCGTCCTGCCCTGGCTTCGCATCCCTTTGTGCGAGTCTCCTTTGGCAGACTTGGCGAAACAGTCCAGGAGATTTGAGGAAGGTAAAGGCAGCTTTTAAAATAAAAACAAAAACAAAGTCCCTCCTCACATTGCACCCAATGCACTCCACAGCCCCAGAGCCAGGAAGCACACCCCACGCAGGGCTGTCTGGAAATAATACTAGGGGGTCAGAGGGGAAAGAATTGTGCACTATTGCCAAAAACCGATTACTTGACAGTGGGATGCAGCAGAGAACAGACATTTAAAGCCCATTTTCTTGCAGCACTACCAGTATTCACTGGAAAGGAAGAGCCATCAGATCAACCGTCTGCTGTTGCAATGAGAAAACTAGCTGAAAATGTCCTTCATCTGAAAGGCCACGCGGCCGCAACAGGATCATCCATCTTTACTTTAAAAATCCCTCAGGATGTAGGGTTTAGATGTGCTCTGCCTGGTGGCATCGAGAAGCTGGAGGTTTAGCTCTCTTTTAAATAAGCAACCGTTACACCCCCTCCAGCTAAATCCCAACACCGCATCCTCAGTGTCCGTGAGGAGACCTTTTGGAAAGGCAGAGCACAAAGTCCTGCCAAAGCCAGAGGGGGAGGGAGAGGGGAGATATGCTGCTGGCTGTCTGAAAACCCTGGCACATCTTTGGTTACGGGATGAAAAAGGAAGCGGTGGAAGGTTTGGCCACCTGATTCTTTAAGAAGATGTTAACCCAGGAGAGAAGGGGAAGAAGGGGACAGGACTGTGGTTAATCCGACCATTCGTCCTCATCGAACTCCGAAGAGTCGTCCTCAGAGTCGCTGTACTCCACAGCGATGCGGCGCGACAGGATCGTTGCCACATCATTGCCCACAACGTCCCGCTTCTCCTGTTCCCGCTGCTCCTCCACCTTGCGGAGCTGGAAGCCTGTCGGGAAGAAGGCAACAGAGGGGATCATGCAAAGGCTTTGGTCACACTGAAATCTCCAAAGCAGCCATCCCTTCGACACAATCCTCTCAGCCTGTCCTCTGAAAGTGAGCATCGGACACGCTGTGGGATAACGCTGATGGTAAACCACAGCCAAGACAGGCCGGGTGGGCAGGTGGAATGGGAAGCGAATTGTTCCTGTGCTCCTCCTCAGAGGTTACCACCATCATTCGATCCACTCGCAAACTCAGACCACACCAGTTCCAGCACTGCCATCTCCAAAGGTGCAGGCAGAGACATAAAAGCTCGTGAGGTTGTCATCAGGGTGGGCAGACAAAGAAGGACCACAAGGGACAGGCCTCAAGCGGCGAGGTGGTCGCACCATTGCTCACGAGATGGCTCCCAAGCGCTCACACTTGGATACCGTGGGGTTTTCCAGAGGCAAAGGAGAAAGATGGTACTGAAACGAAATCTTACCTTGACGAATAGCTGAAAGCAGATCACTCCTGGCATCGCTAACCGCAGGCAAGGATGACTTGGGCTTGGAGGCGGAGGTGTCTGCGGGTGGAGGAGGGGGTGGGGGACCATCCAGGACATTGGAAGACAGAGGCGGTGGGCCAGGAGGCGGCGGTGGTGGAGGGGGAGGCGGCGCACTCCCACTGCCCGGCTGTGGCAGCGGAGGTGGGAGCACACTGGCATATTCGACTGCTGGAGGGGGCGGTGGCGGTGGTGGGGCAGCAAACTCGGGGTGAGGAGGGAAAGAAGGGGGCGAGGGTGGTGGTGGGGTTCCCGGGGATGGGAAGCCCATGGGAGGTGGTGGAGGGGGGGTGCCTCCCATCAGTGGTGGGGGGGGCGGGGGGGGGGGGG